GTGTTAGAAATAGGAGTGGTGATATTATTATTATTATTATTAGTTGTATTGTTATTATTATTACTATTATTATTATTATTGTTATTTGTTGATCCATTATTATTATAAGTTTTAGTATTAATTTTGTTGTTAGCTGTTGTGGTCAAAGTCGTCAATGCTGTTTCAGCTGCATTGTTATTGGTCAATGCAGTGGATGTATTAACACTAGCACCGGTGGGGCTAGAGGAAGTCGGTGTTTGCGGTGGTGGTTGTTGGCTATTCGCACTATTGTTTGTGATTATAATTCATCAACATTTGGTTAATATTTAAATCTGAAAGGGTTACGAGAAAGCAAGCGCCATTGTTCCGTTTTGAATGAGATACCTCGCTTGAATGGCAATTTTATTATGACTAGACGAAGGTTGTGCAGAAGTTAAGCCAACCTGCGTGGCGTTGTCATCCTTCGTGGAATTATTGTTGCCTTGCTGTTGATTGTTTGGCGCGTTCTCTTTGTAAGCTCCCTACGGGTTATCACGAATGGTATAGAGGAATATTATCGTTATTACGTGTATGTTGTATTGAAAGAGAATAAAGGGCACGGCAAAACAAAACGTGAACAAAAAAAAACAATGAAGTCAAACGACATGAACGAAATTGAAAGGATCATAGGTTTCCTTGTTCCGCAAATTAGGATAATACGCTAAAACGGTGGCTCAATTAGTAGAAAGCAATAGCTTACCAGGTTCATGATTGCAGAATCTTCCGACATTTAGCGTTTAATGGTTTCCAAAATAGCAGTATAGTTGCTACTGTTATTAATGTATACCAGGGTTAATGACAAAAATAAAAAAAAGAGAGCGCACAAGTTTCTTTACAGGCAGGGTGTGGTATACGTGGTGAATGTATTTTGGTTGTTCGAAAAATAAAGCTCAGTGCGGAATGAATATCCCAGTGTGCTTTTTTGTGTCAGGTGAACTAGAAAAACAGTCGGTGGTGGTCACAGTTTTTTCTATTATTATTACCTGTTATTAAAATAGAGTTGTTGCTCCTGTGAAAAAAAGGGAGAGGAGGGGGGGATATGGGAAAGCTGTTGGTCAGTCTTTTTATCTTGTGACTTTCTTGTGACATATAGATGACGTAATAGTCTTTATTGTCATACATTTATTGCTGAGAAAGGAGTGTGTTGATTTTCAGGTGACAATAAACTCCTGATGATCGATCGAATTGTCATAACCATCATTCTATCCGACATAAATTTTCTTGGCATATCAATTCCGAAGGGTGAAAAAATCAGGCCACTTTTAACAAATAAACTATTTCTATCATTGTTTAAAGAACTGTCTTCCCAAACAACCCAGAATTTCATTCGAGTTCTTTTTGCAATAATTTGGTTTATCTATGTCAGAAGACAGGCGCAGTTCTACACACCATTATCATCATTCTCATTTTTCATTATCCAATTTGAATTTGTTCTCTTTTGAGGGGTTAAAATCAGGCATCGGACCGGATCAAGTCTATTCGATGCCTGATTTCACGTGACATTAACCTTTACAAAATATCGTTCCCGGCTATTTATCCTTTTGTCTGGCAAATAAAATTTAAACTTCTTTACTAATAATTCTGACCCATCATAAAAATGTTTTGTGCCGCATTTACAACTTGGTTTCACAAAACGCTTCGGCACATCTTAAGTGCATAAATGCGTTGAATCATCTTTCATAACGTGAACAAATCTATAAAAATAATAAATAATATGATGATGATGATGATGATGATGATGAGGATGATTATGATTATGGTAAGAGGATGGCTTTATTAAGCATTTCTTTATCTAACTACCCTGCTGGTTCGAAATTTGTTTACTGACTTCGTGGTGCATCTTTTTCTACAACTCGTGATCATGGTCCTGAAGCGTGACCACGAGATGACGTTGAAAAGTGGTCAGCACTGAAGGCAACGATGATGTTTGGTTATGCTAATTATGATTGAACCAAAGAGAGAGCATGTCTATTTGACGCTATAAAAGACATGATATACTTGTTTGAAAACTGATAAGGGACGATGACGATGTAAGTGATGTGGGGGAATTTTGAATGTTTGAATTCTAATATTATTAAATGTTTTTTATTATTATTACCTTGATAAATGACAATTTGTTTGAAACTCACCTTTTTTATCTAACGTGTCGTGTTTGCTTTCTATTACATACAAATCTTGTACATATCTTGTTCTCTCTTATTCAGATCTCGCCGTTTTGGATCCAATCCAATAACTCATTTTTATTTTTTATTTCGACCTACATTACTTTTACAGATCAAAATCCTCACACCCACCAGATCTTTCTTAATATAGCACCAAAATAGATAATGTTTGTCACCAATAGTTCCTTGCATTATAACTCTATGATTGGCAAGTTTTATACAGGTTTTAGCATCGATAGACAAAAACTGAGAAAAAGATATTATAATTTTTTGTTCCGAATTTTAGCATTAATGCACCTCGAGTTGCTTTGGGTGATCTATTGATATTTGGTATTGAATGTTTTTACAATACTACAGAAAGGACAGAGACATCACGAAGTTTGGTAATCGAATTTCGGTACATTACGTAATAAATCCTCTTACATTATCATATTATTTTTATAGATTACGAGAAAATCATCAACGCATTTACGCACATATAGGTGTGTCGAAATGTTTTTTCCTTTATGAAGCCGAGTTGTAAATTTAAATGCGGCACAAAACATTAGAAATGTGCATATGTGTCAGAATTGAGGAGAAACATTTATTAAAAAAGTTATAATTTTATTTGCCAGACGTTCTGACCGCGAGAAAATACATGAGTGATATGCAAAGGCTAATGTCACGTGAAAGCAGACATCAGCGTAATAGAAGAGAGTGACTGTGGACTCCAACATATTACATATTTTCTTTTTTATAGTGTTAACAGGTGTTTTTTTTTTTTTTAGTTGTAAAGAATATACCACAATAATAATTACTGAGATAACGACGACGACAACAGGACATCTGCTAAACAATTCACAGAATCTTCATTTGTAAATTTTGCGCTAATTAACCTTTATTTTTACAGCTTACAGCAACAAACGTACGACATCAACAAATTAAAAATGTCTTCACTGGTACTAAATCGTGAGCATGGACAGGCACCTCCTCTAATAAAGTCGGAGGTAGAAGACGAGCTCGTGTGGTTGAACGAAGATACTGTTCTAAGAGATGATTTAGGCATAGACACAAAAAGTGACGAAAATGATTCTTCCTCAATATTTTCGACTGTTCAGCAGCATCGAAAAGAAAAAAATCCTGTTATGGAGGAAGAAGAGGATGAGGACCAACCTGTTGATGATTTAAATAATCATGAAAGTAATATTTTAACATCGGTACTTCCTGATGGAGATTATAAACCCGTGATCAATTTAGATGATGATGGGGATGCTAAAAGTGCTACGGTTACTGCTTCTACTACTACAGCAACATTCACCAGAGCAGCATCGACTGCTATTACTACTACTACTACTACTAATAATAATAATAATTCAGATGCAGAAGTTGTTACGATCGAAGACGATGAAATAGAACTAGTAGAAAATAGAAATAAAAATCTTACTAATAAAAATAATAATTCTGCTTACGAAGTGGGCGATGATTACGAAAATGAAAATTCCGATGTTTCGTCAGAAAGTGAAATGCCGCCAGATACTCAAGAACAGGAAAACGACATTGACCAAGATCAAGATCCAGGTTTTGGTCTTGGTTCTGCACGTTGCATTCTTGAATATGCTGGCACCAAAACTCCTATGACCATTCGCACGCAAGTGAGATTGAGCGAATTTATGATGACTCTGAAAAAAGATTTGGTTTTTCATGAAGCGCATTACCAGGAAGCCGTTCTCACATTTAAAGATTTCGAGGATCCCGACTTTATAGTGTCTATCTCTCAAGTAAGTATACATGATATGTATTTTTGCAATTTCAGTCATGAAAAATTATTTTCTAATGTCGATTCTTAAACTAGGAAAACTATTATGCTCAACATCATACACTGAATGATATCCTGAATTTACACCACAACTTCCAAAAAGCAAAAAATCAATCTCCTAGCTATCTTCATATTCTTTTAACGCTTAGAGACGGTTTCATTTCGCAGATACAGCGTATTCGATATAGTATCACAGAAGGTAAATCATATTTGTTGGAAATGAATAACCTCCCTTTTTTTTTTTGGGAACTTATCCGATATTGTATTCTTATTCGAATCTAGTTGTGAGGGCAAATAGTGCAGGCAATCTTCCACAAAATCCTATTGTTCTTGATGACGATGATTCCGATCCTGGAATTCATTCGGATGAAAGCGTAAACGCAGAAGAAATCCACTATAACGAAGAAACTCACGATAACGGTGACGAAGAAGCTCACGAAGACGACGATGATGTCATATATATAAATTCACCCACGAACGAGGATAACGAAGGAGCTCAATCACCTCTAACCGAACCAACCGTCAATGCAGGTAAACTGAGTGTACCTTCTCCACATTTAACTTTTAAGAATAATCGAACAAAGAATGGGTTACCGATTATTGATGATGATGGTATTAAATTTTTTTTTATAAAAAGAATCAATTCTATTATTTGTGATATTAAGTGCTTGAATTACTTATTTATTAGATCTTGCACCATATTCTGATATTGATGAAACTGATCGAGATCAACCTTTGCCTACTATTGAAGATCTAGATGGAGAAACAGAAGTCCCATTGGATGATGATGAATTAAATAACGATAAATTAGGTGAAGAGGAAATTAATGACGAAAAGAATGATAATTCAACTGTCACCTCCTCACACGTAGAAACTGAACAAGTTCATGACGACACTTTCGGCGCTTCAGAACCTTCAAACGAAGAAGGCGACAACAAATTCACATATTACTTCACTGATGATATCCCAGAAGAGGTTGACAATGATAACATTGATCATACCAACGAACTTGATGTTGCACAAAATAATGAAGAAGTTTCGCATACAACAACTCTAAATAATAATAATAATAATAATAATCCATTCACCGCCGAAGGTAATTTTTAAATTATTCAAGTAAATCATAACCTATATATTAATTAGAACTTTATATTGAATCTTTAAAGACGTAGATGGTCTTCCAGACTTTGAAGAGTATGTGGATTCTACGCTGCAAGCTAACATTGAAGGAGAAGAAAACTTTGATACGGAAGACTGGGCAAACGATGTAACAACCGATAACCTGAACCTTGATTCTGCATCCGCTGTTAATCTAAAACGAGGGCGGGAATCCATATTCACTACTGACGGTAAATAAACGCAATTCCGGAATAATTTTTTACGGATTATCAATTATAATTTATTAATAATTCATTGTTTTTATTATAGATATTGACGAAGAGTCTGACGTTAAAAAGGCACGAATAATTTGAATGGTTTGATTAATTTCCATTTATCATTTATATTATCATCATTTAACGATACAATGGATAGCAAAAAAAAAAAAAACTGTAATCTTATGATGAATATTGCTATCCTTTCGCGTAATTGAAATTTTTTATGATAGAAAAAGTGAAATCACACACACTATCTGACCATAGTGTGAATGAATAATAATAAAGTATGTAACAAGAATCGGTTTTAAGCACACAGTTCTCTCTTTGTAAAGCTCAAATTAGAGAAAGAATTACCCTCTCAGTACCAATACTATCAAACTACTATATATACCTTAGTCTCAACAGTTAGCGCTTCTTTTTAAAAGAAAAAGAAATAAACAAATAACATTAGTAATAATAATGGGATTTGCTAGAAAAAATTAAAAGATACTAGAAATTACCTGAGTTTAAAGAGAAATGGAAAGTAAAAGTTGGTTGAAATAAATGACAATTTTAACATCCTGTATAAATAACTAAAATCCGATCCTGACGGTCGGTCACTGACGATCATCTGGTAAACCAAACGTCTCGATAATGCCGTATCATTATAATACTCGATATGATTGCTATTACATTTGCATTTAAATTCAACTCGCGATCCAGCCAATAGTTTTTTGATTAATCCATCAATTAAACGAAGGCGTAACAGGATAACATAGCCTTCTGCGAAAATCGCGTTGCAAGGGCTTGGTATAATACGATCAGATGTGAATGTTTACATTATAACTTTAAACGCGTCAAATTAAATTATTTTTTCATTACACATTGATCTTGATATTTGATTGGTTCCCCCAAAAATCACATGATCCGTCACTTTTTTTCGTCAAGCATAACAAAATCCGTCTAATTAAATTGTACATAGAAAAATCAATAACTTTTATTATATATTTAACTACTGTTCTGAAATATACATCATTTTAAATGTTTTTGAATATTTTCCGTAATTTTATACGACATCCATAAGAGCAAAGTGTATGTTTAACCGGAATCATTTGATCACCATAATAATAATAATAATCACAGACACCGTCATGGAACAATGGCGTATGACAGCGAGAACAAACTGTAGGTGGATATTCACGTGGTGGAACGATCCGCTGCAGTATTTCGGTAGGTAAAAAATTGAAAATGCAGCTTTCTGTGCTTTGTAAATCTTTATCTTTTTTTGTTCCGCCACGACAACATGAAGACCGACTATTGTAGTTCCTGCCGGAACAGTAAAAATGAAGGCCTTGCTTTAGTAAAGTGGTGCCGACAGTCTGAGCACATATATCAGATAATCGCATTAAATTGACATTCGAGTGTAGATTGCGAATTTTATTACAATCATCATCATCATCATCCTGATCATCATCTTTACTTCGACTTTCATCATTAATCTTTTTATGAGAAATTAAAGCAAACGGATTTCCATCAACGCGAAGTTGTTTCAACTTTTTCAATTGATAAATCTCAGCAGGCAAATATGCGATTTGATTTTTCTCCATATTCAACCAATTGCATTCTGTACAATTCGCTATCTGCGGCGGAATGCTTTTGATCTTATTGGAGTGCACATCGAGCTCACGAAGTGCGGTCAAAAACCCGATTTGTGGTGGAAGAGATCGTAGTTGATTCGAGTGTATATGCAAAATTTGGAGACCGCTCAGTTGAAAAAGGGCGGATGGTAAACTGGAAAGTTTATTATAAGATATTGAGAGTCTGCGAAGTGAATTTAGATATGGAATCGCAGGTGGAAGAATCGTCTATGATTAATTAATCAAATTAATTCAATGACTATATAAATAAGAAGGTGGTGGTAAATAATGATAGAATACGTATTACTATACTCACAAACTCTTGAACACCAAGATCCACCAAACTAACTTCATACTTTGAAAGAAAGCTTTGTGTTATAGTCTTAATTTTCTTTTCATTATTATAGATATCGTTAAAAGGTTCTTTTGGAATTAATTGATGGGTTATGGTGTATCCTCCTTCCGCATTAACCTTCAGATTCCAAAGAATGACCGAGTAGTAATAAAATTCACGACCATTGCTTTGCAATAACGGCAAATATTCTTCCCCTTGTAACAGCAAAGAAGATAGGTGTGATAAAGTAGTGTTTCGACGCGACATTTCATAAGTTTTAGACTTGCTAAAACTGTTAGTGTTTTTTGTTAACATTTCATTACATTCTTTCGTGGGGGGATGTTTTTTTTCGATTCTACGCCTTTCCTTAAATGAACTGAAATCAGATGTGTTGTGTTTCAAACAACTGAAAATTTTCCGGAAGATCTTTGAATAATAATAAATATGAGATATAAATTATTTTTCTCCTCTTTTTCTTTGATTAATCATCAGAAGTACAACAAGAAGACTTGTTTATGCAGTTGGTTTCATCGAAGTTTCGCATCTTTGCGTAGTAATGAATTCACAAAAGCAAGAAGATACAAAGAGATCAACGATGGTAATGATGATTATGATGTGCGAAAAACGCATTATATTCCTGGAAAGTATCTTCATTTTCTTGATAAACCTGTTAGAACCTTAAAAAAAGAAGCACGAGAAGAAAAAAATAAGGTCAGTCACAAACAATGACATTCCCTTGATTAATATGTGCATTATATGTCAAATGTATTCTATTGATATAATAATCAATGGATGAATAGCCCACAAAAAGAATTAGGTCACGTGAGTTAAAATTTAATTACAGATTTCCCTCCGACCATTCTTTAAATCAAGAAGAGTTTTATAGCAATTATGAGGATAAATTCTCTACTGAAACATCATTATCGTCAATGTCTATCGATCTTAACAATCCACTTTCAAAAAAACAACAAAACATCTCTAATCGCGTATCACGTGCTATCAAAAATTGTTTTTATACTTTACCTCACAAGTTATTGGGACCTTCATATGTGAAGATCGTCAATGTATGTATGATTGTGTGCAGAATTTCTTTACCATTTATAATATGCATATTGATAAAGGTAAAATAACTTTAAGGTTGAAACTTTAACTAGTTTGAGAGAGACGCAAATTTGGTGGAGACCGATGCCTGATAATCATCATTCTAAGGTATTTTCCCACACCCTACATATTTGTACATGCATGCGTACATTCTGCGCTTTTACACGCATTTACATGATAAATAATTTACAGGCGGATATTGAAGAAGCATTGCGTTCTCATCAATCACAACTACGAGAAGCAATCAAACGTGAAATGCGTGTCAGGAAGCCACCTCGGCTTATATTTCTTAGGGATGATTTGGCCAATGGACCAATCAAAAATATATTGAATGAAATAATGGATGAATTATCATTATCAAAGGATCAATCATCTGCAACCCCTACTTTGGATGAGCATAAGCATGAACATGAAGAAAGGGAATTTATGCAATCAAGAACTAACAATTTGCTTAACCAAAAAGAGATAACCACTAATGATTTACATAAAGAATCATATTTTGAGAAATATAGCAAAAAAATCAGAAATCTATTCTTTTCTCTAAAATAAAGCAATGAATTTAATAATTTAACCAAAATTCTAGCAGAAACAGCTCTCTCATAATATGCCAATGCTCAAATGCCGAGAGTAATTGTAATCGATTCAATGGATTGTTACGATCCGTAATAACTTCGGTGACATTTGATAGACGCGTCAAATCTACTTTCCATTTTTCAAAAGTTTCGAGAACATATTCTCGAAGTCCACCAGTGAATGTGCTGTTTGTAGTTATTGCACGAAAGCTTATCGGTTTTGCGGAAGCAAAGAATACCTTTTTAAATATAAGAAATCATGTCATTTAAAAATGATGATTATAAAGATGATTAACGTGCGCATTTAGTTGAGCTTAAAAAGCTTACTATATTTTCAAATACTTCAATCGACTCGCTGCTACCCTCTCGATAACAATTTACGTACGGGAAAACTGCCTTGATCGTATTGTAAATTAACCCTAATGCTTCAGCGTCGGGCCATTTTTGAGATCCCACATAATTCTTTAACAAAGAAAATAAAGTTAATTTTCTATCTTTAAAAAAATATATAACAACAGCAGATCCTACCAAAGCAAGCACACCATCCTCTTTTAATATTCTTTGAATCTGAATTAAAGCTTCGACGGAAAATAATGTTTCCGGGACAGAACCTCCAGTAAACACGTCATGTAAGACGTAATCATATTTATTCGATGGGGCTTCATTAATGAATTTTCGACCATCTTGAATATAAGGTTTGCTGAGAGGTGCAAGACGAAAATAATTCACAGCGAACGCGTATACTGCTGGATCAATTTCAACTATATCAACCAACACGTTGTTCTCTTGAAGTGAGGATGCGGACACGCCAATTCCTAGTCCTCTATCAAAGATCATTATTGATTAATATAAGAAAAATTTATAATTCTACAAAATAAATTTTAATGATTAACTTACATTTGAAGTGCCTTTTCCTGTTCATCATGCGTTCTTCCTTCGACGAGTTGTACAGCTTATTTAAAAAACTTTTGGTAAATCGATAAAATAATACAAAAAAAGAAAAAAATTTTTTTTTGAATCGATTATGATACCATCAAAAAATTAGATCACGAATTTACCTTCCATATAATAAAACGAGGCGAATACAGATTCCCAAGTACTTTTACGTACACCACCAATTAACGAATGTCCGGCACGCATAACACGTATGTCACGTGTAGGATCATCAACCACGTCAATCCATCCTGTAACAGATTCATTACGAGCTAAGACAATGTATGCCGATTTCGAATTATTTTGGTCATTATTATTGTTGCTCACGTTTAGAAGACATTGAGAATTGAATCCGGCATTATAAATAACTAAAATAATTATGAGAATCTGTGGCAATATGTTCACAGAGGGCCTTACTTCTTTTGCTACAAGTGTTTGTGCCTTTCGTCTTTGTGCAGAATCTTCTAATAGCGTGATCTCGCCGTAAATACGATACAAAGCCTTAAATAATCCGCTAACCAATGCTAATAAGAGTCCACTGGAATATAATCGTTGACAAGTACGACCCATCGAAACAACATTATACAAGACATAAGTTAAAGACGAGATCACCACAACATGCATGATCACATATAATGCCCATCTATACAGTAGAATTTTTTTTTCTCTCTCACGTCTCGCACAAACTAATGTGTTTATTAGAGCTAGAGTAAAAAGCACCGGATAGGCTAACCATGTTTGAGTAACATGTGGTCCTATATACGGGCCCAGGGTTCCACTTTGCGTGAATAATAATTTTACTGAAAGTGGGGACAGCGCCAATAGGATGCCGCACCAGTCAATTCCTATCATAATTAAAGTGCTCAAATAAGCTTCATTTTGTTTCTCAGCTTGACGATTCCAGGATTCCTTTACTATCGAAATTACCCAGACACCTAAAATTATCCCAAATATCACGCAACCTAAAGCAGCTTCTTTAAAGTATAAATAAGAGAAAACATTTCCATATAGTGGCTCAAGATAACGCGGAGAAACTTGCAAAATTGTTGATGCGAGAATTGGTGTAACTAGTAATAAAGTTGCTCGAGGCAATGTCCATAATTGAGTAACTGATGTTATATGATCTTCGCCACTTGCTACCTCTTGTTTTTTCGATGATAATTTTATAGTCGATTGTTGCCGTGTTGGCACGTTACGTTTTCGTCTTGACATATGCTATAAATCTTATCAACAAAAAATCGAGATTCTAGATTAATATTTTTGTCAAAGGTCATTTGAAGCTTTTAATTAATTATTTTAATAATTCTTATAACGATGAATTTCAGAAGAGCCTCTTTTCGAATGAATACTTTAAAGAGTCGCCAAAGATTCTATCTTTCGTGTTCTCATTCTCTTATATAAAATCTACTTTAAAGTATATAATGATCGATAGTATATCAAAAGACAATATATCTAAAAAATTAAAATTAACGTACCACTTTTTTACTATATATTACCTAAGAAAATATGAAAAAATGCCGAAAAAGCTAAAAAAATCCCAACAAAAATAGGGCTTTGCTCAAAGATAAAATATAAGCCACATACTACCTCCCTATTTAGACAAAGCAGAGCGTTTAATCAAATTTTGATGCTAGGATTGTCAATATTCCGGCCAATCGGTCTTTGAAAATTTCGAATCCTAAAAGTCCCTTCTTGTAGAACTTTTATTTATTGCGTGTACTTGTGTCTTGTTCGGGTGAATAATAATTTTTTTGACAAACTTTTTAAATTTTATAAAATTCCGACTGCCTCACTATGGCACGAGGAAAAATATCAATAGCACTAATGTGCTCATCAAAATTTTATATAATTTTAATCATCGCAATTTCGGCATTCCTCTGCTCAAAAGTTGGAGCCGCGGATGGGTTACGAAAAAGAGACTATACAAGATTTTCTTATTATGCTGTAGAAGTTTTGAAAGATTCCTTAATATCACCCAAAGAAATAGCCACGCTATTAAATGTAACATATGAAGGACCAATCGGTGAATTAGAAAACCATTACCTTTTTAGTTTTCCAAAAACAATATCATCCGAGAAGAAACTCAATAAACGTGGTTCAAGTTTAAATAATATTGAACTAAGCGAAAGGGACGATAGTGTAATTAAAAGATGGAATAGTTTAAGACATAAGCGCAGTCTTGCCAAGAGGTCGTTTCAAATTGTAAACAATATCATATCGGTAGAAAAACAGAAATTGCGTCGATTACATAAACGGATACCTGCTCCACCGCATATCCCTGCACCAAACCCTGAAGATCTCGCTAATCATCAAAAACCGTTAGATGTAGAGAGTTTAGCAGCTTCTCTTGGCATTTCCGATCCTGGATTTAAATACCAATGGCATCTTGTAAGATGTGATAGTCTTTGTCAAAGTTTCATTAAATTATGAATTTGATCTAAATATTCAATACGCATTTTATCCAAAAAGGTTAATTCGGTTCAACGTGGGAATGATATTAACGTAACAGGCGTATGGCAAGAAGGTTATCATTATTATTATTATTACTATTTACAATAAATACTATTTATTATTAATGTTAATTATTGAAGATAATGATTATCTGTTAATTCAGGTATAACTGGCAAAGGTGTTGTTGTTGCCCTTGTTGATGATGGCTTAGATATGTATAGTGAGGATTTAAAGGATAGTTACGTGAGTATCAATAAAAGCAATGATGCATTGGTTTTAAAATTAATCACTAATTATTCTCGTTGACAAATAATAGTTTGCAGAAGGTTCTTATGACTTTAATGATCATAATCCAACGCCTAAGCCTAAGCTTTCTGATGACCAACATGGTACAAGATGTGCTGGTGAAATTGCCGCACAACGAAATGATGTCTGCGGAGTAGGAATTGCATGGGATGCAAAAGTATCCGGTATTATACTAATATTAATTTAACTTGTTTCGATCACTGGGTTTTAATCAGTGTCCATTTTCTAATAAAATTACTTTAAATATTTAAAAAAAGGTATACGAATTTTGTCAGCAGAAATATCGGACGCTGATGAAGCTGAAGCTCTCAATTATAAATATCATCAGAATCATATCTATTCTTGTAGTTGGGGTCCTCCAGATGATGGTCAATCAGTTGAGGCGCCCCATGGATTAATTCTAAAGGCAATGATCAATGGAATTGAAAATGGTCGTTCCGGCAAAGGAAGTCTCTATGTTTTCGCTTCTGGTAACGGAGGAGCAAACGACGATAATTGTAATTTCGACGGATATACTAATAGCATATACACTATCACTGTTGGTGCTGTTGATCGAAATGGTGGACATCCTTTTTATTCAGAAAGATGTTCAGCATTATTAATTACTACATATAGTAGTGGCAGTGGAAGCTATATTGTAAGTTAATCATCACTCATATATCGAAGCATTTATTTGTATATACTATAATAATCTATTGCGAAACTAGTATACAACGGATGTCGGTCAACGTGTGTGCTCTACTACACACGGTGGTACTTCAGCAGCTGCGCCAATTGCTGCTGGAATATTTGCTCTTGTTTTGGAGGTTAGGTAAATATATTTGTTTCCTTAACATTCATTTTGTGTAATCATCATCTTTGATTAGTATTCATTAATATGAACAATAGCAATATTATTTATCAAATTATTTCAATAGACCTGATCTTACATGGCGTGATATGCAATACCTGGCTTTAACAAGTGCGGTGCCTTTTGACTTGGGAGATGATGATTGGTCAATGACAGCGGCTGGTCGCTACTTTAGTCATAAATTTGGATATGGAAAAATTGATGCATACAAAATTGTTCGAAACGCGAGAACATTTAAGAATTTAGAACCTCAAACGTCTATAGAAACTGAGATAATCAATATCAATCAACGTATTCCAATGGACGATGAGGGATTATTATCCTCGGTTGAAGTATTTCAAAGTCAGCTCGATAGTGTAAATTTTTCTCGATTAGAGCACGTGACTGTCACCGTAAATATTGATCATACTCGTCGTGGAGATATTGAGGTTGATTTGATAAGCCCTAAATTGGTTCGGTCAAAATTAGCCTTTCCGCGTAGATTTGACGTGCACAGAGCAGGATTGGAAAATTGGACTTTCATGAGTGTCAAGCATTGGTGAGTATTAAATATTGTCAATTTATTGTTACATTTAAGAATATATTGAAAGCTAATTTTATTGGAAACACAAAAATAATGCAGGGATGAGTCACCAGTTGGAGTTTGGACACTTCAAGTAAGAGATCGCAATAATCCTAATGATTGGGGGGTTTTTATCAATTGGACAATGAAATTTTGGGGTGAAAAGAAGAAAGTGGGCGAAGTTCCTCTCCCGTCATCTGCTACTCCAACAGCTTCAACAGTCACAAAAGTCTCAGAGCCATCAACAACATCAACAACACCTAGCGAAACAGCTTCAACGGAAACACCCTTGGAAGACACTAACACCGATTCTGTTGTAAAAGTAATAAAAAACTCCAACTGGCATTATGCTATTATCGGCATGGGAACTGCTCTTGTTCTCGCTGGATTAGTGTATTATGGCAAAAGATGTTTCTGTGCTAAGAGGAATAAAAAACGAGAAGGTTACGAATTCGCTGTACTATCGGAGGATGATGGACGTTTTGGAGACGAGGATTTAATCCCATTAGGAAGTGGAAAACAACTCATAACCTCACGTGAAATATTTGCCGCATTTGGAGATAGTGATGAAGAGGAAGATGACGAAAAATCACAAGTAGTCTATGATAATGTATATATGGATGCATACAAAGACGATGTACCAGAAGAAATCAACGAAGATGAAGAAACTATTATACAGGGAGAAGGTAGTGGAAGTGGTAGTACTACTAGTGTTGAGGGAGGAAAAGAGCAACATCCATTACAAACACCATTAGTATCAGAGCAACATCATGATGATAATGATGATAATCATAACTTTAATAATAATGATAATAGTAGTAATAATAATAATGATAATAATAATAATAATAATAATAATAATAGTAATAATAATAATAATAGTAATAATAATTATAATAATAGCAATAATCGACCTCGTAACGGAAGTTGGGATGATTTTTCGCATTTGTTAGGCAGCCAAGAAACACGGAGATAATGACACATAGACACATAGCGATAGCATAAATATAAAAGTAACACAACGATTCTTAAAAAAGAATAATTTTTAATATTTTGAATAAACAATGTTCCCAGATTTTTTTTTGATTGGTAACTTGTACATATATAGTAAACTAATCAAATTGCTTATCAATCATCGATTAACAAACTAAGGCTCATCACCGACACACAGCACGTGAAAAGTACCATATAATCTCAACTTTCCAAGCCTTGTAACTCTATTTTTGTCGTTAATTCTATACTTTTCCTTTTTTAAGAAACATTAAATCCCACTTTTATTCATTCTTTACTCTTTATTCTACTAAGCCACTTTACATCTACTCTACAAAATCTCCCTTCAGGCAATTCGTTTTGAATTTGAAAAATATAAACCTTGAACAAAATGACAGCTATTCAAGCTGAAGATATTACTCTAATCTTAAATCAAGATCGAAATGTAATAGTACCTACCACACCTGATATTGCTTCTTCTGACGGAGAAAATCCTTTTGAACGTAGGGCTAATGAAGAGTCACTTTATTTTAGACCTTCACATCACCTTAATGCTCCTGCGTTGAAACGTTCAACTTCAATTTCTTCAATCAGTTCCTACGCGTCATCTATTCCTGATACTCCAAAGCATCCTGGTAACACAACTCCTGACTCTGACGCTTCGGAATTAGCACTTGGAGATTCCGGAGCTTTAGCTCATAACTGGTTCGCCAGTGGTACACTTACTGCAGAGGGTCGCTGGTTCAAAGATGAGCAGGGTAGAGCTTGTTTATTACGTGGGGTGAATCTCTGCGGAAACTCGAAACTACCTACCGTTCCTAACGGCTCGACGTATCTAAGTGAAGGTTTTTTTGATCATCGAAATGTATCTTTTATTGGACGTCCGTTCCCTCTTGATGAAGCTGCACAGCATTTTGCTAGACTAAAAACTTGGGGTTTGACCTTTGTTAGGCTTTTGGTTCCCTGGGAAGCTTTGGAACATGCTGGACCGTGAGTCATCTGAATAAATCAAGAGATGAAATTCTCTCGAATAATTACTCGCCTTTGCGTAGAATACGATGAGTATTTTCGCGCTCTACTCGTAAAAGATTTTCCCCGAATTGTCATTGATCTGCATTTTTAAACCTTTACTAAAATTCATTTGTTTATAGTGGTATTTATGACGATAAATTTATAGACTACTTAGTCGGCATTATCGAAGAGATGCCAAAATATGGCATTAAATGTTTCATAGATCCGCATCAAGATGCAGTATGTATTTTGATAGCAAAAACACGTTGTTTAGATTACTATTTAGCGGGATATTCTTAAATCTTTACTGTTTCTGACTCAATAGTGGTCTCGTTTTTCTGGAGGATCTGGTGCGCCTGGGTGGACCTTTGAAGTTGCAGGCATGGACATTACGGGTTTCAAAGCCACCGGTGCTGCCTATGTACAAAATGTCAACCATAAAGCTGGTGATCCCCCTCAGCAGATGGTTTGGCCAACAAATTATACAAAATTAGCCAGTAGTACCATGTTCACGCTATTTTGGGCTGGTGATGTGTTTGCTCCTAACGCCACATATCAAAATAAAAATCTTAAAGAATTTCTTCAAGGAAAATTCATTGATTGCTATAAATATTTAGCAAGGTAAATATTATCATATTTACTCTTTATAATTCATTCAACTTTCGTCAGAGAAATGAGTCCAAGTAATCATCTTCATTCAAACTTGATTTGATTCTATTGAAAGACGCTTACAACACTTAGAAGCTGTTATGGGATTTGAGATGATGAATGAACCTCAGTAAGTGAATAAGAATTATATTTTTAAGCATCAATTATTTCCTAAAAAAATAATAGTCTTCCTTCAATATAGTCATGGTTATATTGGTCTCAAGAATCTTGACCAATTTGATCCAATAACGACGCTTGTTTTTGGTGACTCCCCATCTGCACTTCAATCATTCGCCTTAGGCGACGGCATTCCTCAAGAAATTGAAGTATGGGTTAAATCATGGCCATATCCAACTAAAAAGCATACTACAAAATTACTGAATTCGGAGCGTGAACGTGCATGGCTTGACGGCCATAAATGTATCTGGCGACAGCATGGAGTCTGGGATGTTGATGTCAACGGAAAACCAAGAGCTTTGAAACATAATTACTTTCAGAATCATCCACAAACAGGAGACAAAGTAAACTTTTACCGAGATTTTTACGTGCCGTTTATTAACAAATATGCCGAAGGAATACAAAGTGTAAAACAGGATTATTTCATATTCATCGAACCCCTTCCAAATGAGGTTTGAAAATTTTATGCTTTTGCAATATTATTTTGTGGCACTAAAATTTTGCATCGAGCCTAATTGTTCCTTTGGTAATATATAGTTACCACCACAGTATGAGCCCACGGATCATCATAAAGGTATAATATATGCCCCGCATTGGTATGATCTTAAATCTTTATTTACAAAAAGTTTTGATGGACGTATAACACATGACGTTCAGGGACTATCAAAGGTATATATATCATTCATTTTTGTTGAAAATTATTTTCTACTACAAGTTAGTTCAATACAATTCTATTATATTCCAATAATAATAATAATAGGGTAAGAATGTAATATCAGCCACTTACTTTGGTCTTGCAGGGGCCAAAAAAAATTATACAGGGCAAGTAAAGAACATTGTACAAACTGGGCTTCAAAAAGTTGGTCAAACGCCATGTGTGATTGGTGAATGTGGAATTCCTATGGATATTAATGACAAAAAAGCATTTGAGACAGGTGATTATACCCATCACAGTAATTTCCTGGATGCCGTTCTTTGTGCAATGGAGCGAAACTTGGTGAATTTCACGTGAGTATTTTTCATTGTTTCATATTATTTTTTGCTTGTTTATTTAATAATGATTTTCGAATTTCATGAATAGACTTTGGAATTATAACCCACTCAATGACAATACTCATGGCGATCATTGGAACGGTGAAGATTTTTCAATATACTCACCTGTACCAAACTCCAAAACAATTTCCGATACAACCGAAACTAAAATTTCCACATACTGCAAAAACGGTACTACTACCAAAACCGTCATCAAACGAAAAAGGACATTCCAAAAATTAGAAATTCAGACCACGCTTGAAAAACCCAATAATAATGATAATAATAGTGACGAAAACGCTGAATCACAATTAAATCCAACCAGTCCGACAAGTCCGACCACGCCTTTTGATTTGACACAAGTACATTTTTTGGATCAGGATGATGGAACAGACGAAGATCATCATCATCATATTGGGGGTAGAGTTTTAGATGCAGTCTTGGTAACTATTTTTTTTTTTGGGCTAAACTTATTATATAAATAAATTTGCAAATAATTAAATGTCAATTTTTGATAAAAGCGACCTTATGCCGCCAAAATTGCCGGTGAACCAGGATCGATGGTTTTCAATCTAAAGAATTTAGAATTCACGTTCCAATATAACAATTACTCCTCTTCAACACACCCAATATATCAACATGGAAACAACGATCTTGCACCTCCCGAAACAGAAATATTCATCCCGAATTACCATTACAAACAACGCTATCTCGATATTCGTGTTTCCGACGGTGATTGGAGATACGTAAAAAGCAGGCAGACCTTATATTGGCGAGTTAAAGACTGGAAAACTCCCGGATTAAAACATACTTTAAGAGTAAGCGTTGTCGATCCGAATAAAGTTACCGATGAAAAGATGTCACTGAATTCCCGGGAAGGAATGGCCGAAGAAATCACTAAAAAGAATCGCAATATCAACATTTCACAAACTTCACAATTGCCATTACTTTTGTTTGGTATAGTTGCTGTTAGTGTCGCAGCTTTTGTTTCTCAAACAATTGACTTGTCTTTTAAAATACCATCACCTCTTGATTGGCTAGTTTGGTAGGTAGATATTGTGTAATGCTTAAGGTTTCATGTAATTATTTTTTATTCAATTGGAGAGTGGGTGGATGGGGGTAATCTTTATGTAGAAAATTGAACAATGGAACATTTCTTCATAGAAATCATTAATTGACTAAATTTATTTTCAGCCAATAAATTTTTAAAGTTTTTGATCTTAATTATCGACAGATCAATTATAAATATAATGTACAACATGAAAATTTTCATTCCTCTGAAAAACTATCGTCATCTTCTTCCTTGTTAATACCATTGTCTTCATCGTCTTTAACAATGATTTTACCCTTATGAATTTTCTCGCCTGTTTTTATGATTGCACTCTCCGGAATGATACCCTCCACGTTAAGATATCCATAATCACGCGCAGTGTGATAATCAATTACATTTAGCCAATTCTGGAAACTGAAAAATTTTCAAAAAAATACAAATATGTAAAAATGCATTTTAACATCCGCAAAATGAATTTTCTTCTCTGAATGAATGCACTTACGTGTTCTCTTCAATTTCTTCCGCAAAGATCTTTGAATAGATAAATTCATCTTTGAATTTATCGATTTTTTCCTTAAAAGCATAAATTGTTTTAACGTAAATTTTTTTTGCTTATTATTGAAAGAGTGATGAACGACGCTCACCTTGTATAACTCAAAACTAACTAAATCCTTTTCTTTTTCTTTTGCTTTTTTATTGTAAGAATTGAAAACAGGCTGCATAATATTTTTTGTAAAATTTGAATGTTCGGAACAATTTTTAACAAAACATTATTTTTGCCGCTGTTAAAGAAATTAAATTTCACCTGTTCGAGCAATAAGCCTAAAGCTGGGGCCTTTGGTATATTGATTTTGTCTAAGTCAAATGTTTTCTCAACAAGAGATAATGGTGTGCCGCTTCGTACTACTAGAACAATCATTGCTGTTCAATATAAAAGTACATAAAATAACTAAAACATTTAGCATATTGAAATATTGTGGGTATAAATTATCGATTAATTTTCCCATTAATATACATAATACAATAAAACATTACTCACAAACCATTTTCCGAATTTGATGTAACATAAATGATTGCCCATGCACTTTAAGGCTTAACCATTCAGTGTTTTGTATTATTTTTGGGTCGCTAACCTATAATAATATCAGAATTTTCATAGTTTAATAGCACAATGATTATAAACTTAAAATGCAGATAAGAATTCATAAAAAATAACCTCAAATTTAATAATATATCGAAAGCAACTCTTGTCTTTAGCACTACGACCAATCGTATAATTATGATAATTATGCGTTCCTTCATAAATTCTAAACCCTTGTCTCACAGTTTCCAAGGTATCTGGTGGTATGCGATATTTTCGCTTTTCAATCATTTCTTCTGCCGTGGCTACTGGGATGTCCTCCAATGATATATGAACAATTGTGGAATCTTGCGATATCAATGGAGTTTCCCCCGGAGAAACCAACCTCTCCGTTTCTTTCTTCAGGGTGTACCCTTCAGCTGTCAGTATGGGTTGAGTATTTGGCGTTGATAACGACGATGGTGATGAATGCATGAAGACATAACTTGGAATAAGATATTCATAAATTCTCGAATCACAAAGTGTTTTCGAATGAAAAGTTTTAACGACTTTTGCATATCCTTTATTTTTTTTTTAAAGAAAGATTTTAATAGAATTTCATATTAGGAATCAAGGACTGCATCACAGTTATTACCCCACATTTGAATCTGGTCCGGAAGATTCTCGTTAATTTTTTCCACCACATTTGGAATATCGGTTATCATGTATAATAAAAAATTCAAAATTCAAGTAAGATCGAAATGCGGAAAAAAATTTTTAAATATCGGCCGTCAATTTGTGTCTAACTTATCTTCAGTGAGATTACGTTGCCAGCAGCATGAACACCCTTGTCTGTTCTCGCAGCACGCATTAATCCTACCTAATAACAGTGTAAGATTAACTTTAATTCATATATTAATTGAATTACATCCATCATGTTTACCTTTTTTGGATCATCAGAATTATCCTTTGATATTGCACCAGCCGCGACAAACGCTTTAAATAATTCTTCTTCAATAGTTTTTGCGCCTGGATTTCTAAATTATTTATTTATCCTGATCTCAATGATAATAATTCTCGTTTTATCCAAAAACCTAGCTTTTTGAATTTGAACTCACTACATTTGCATTCCTTGATATCCAGTTCCACAAAATCCTACAAGAGCTGCAACTTTTCTTTTTGGCTTTCTTGGCTCTTTGTCTTGTGATCCCTCCTCTATATCTGAGTTATCTTTAGTCTCATTTGTATCTCTCTCCGTCTTTTCCCATTTCCTCGGTTGATACTCTTCTTTTTGTCCTACTCTCTTTGCAAAATTTTTTTTCAAGTGGTTTCTCCGATCATTGGCTGTAGTGAATCTCTTTTTGATTGGACGAGCTACCCCTTCATTGCTACTTGGGATTTTTTGTTCTAAAGTCTCTTCTTTGACCACAATATCTATGTCATTACTAATCTTTGAAGCTTCATTTTCCGGAGAAAAAGATTCCAGCTGTTGGTGAGGACGTTTCGAAAGTTCTGTTAACGGCTTTACATCGTCGGGTATTTTTGAGTTCATATTGGTTTGAAACAGTTTAATTTGAGATAAAATGTGCTTTCTCTTTGAAAATTTTAATAATGAATTTAAATTTTTTTTATGCGCATGAAACCACAACATTTGCGGGTCAGAGTTTTGATCAAGAAACCAATAGAGATGCAAGTCAGCTGATTTTTATTATGAATTAGAGGAATTAAATGTTATATTAATATTGCTTTGACCTTTTCCTTCCCAAAGCATAAACACACCGACATTTGAGAATAAAAAATTCATTACAATAATTTACATGATCCCACTTTTTTACAAATGTAATAAAATCCTCATTTTAGAAATAAGCGTTATTCTGTTATCGAGTTCGCTTTAAAATATAAATATAGGCTTCTTCTTGAGGAGGATATGGTGCACTTACAACTCTATTATCGTTGTAAAGCACCCATTGTCCATCTTTTCGTACGTGAGCAACATAATGACCCGAATGTACAGAAGTGCCTTTGTGTGAAATGACACAAGAAATTTCATAATTAGCTGGGAGAGATGAATCTGAATAAATAAAAATCCTTAGATTAGGCATGATGATGCGTATTAAAATATCGAGTGAAAAAAAAAACTAATAAAATTCTCATAAACCTCCAAAATTAGTATTGGTAGCTTCGGTATTAGTGCTGTTTTGCTTGTCAACATCATCATTTGGATGGCTGAAGAGCCATTCTATAGCTCTTTCAGCATTATTGTTCTTATAGATGGAAGTGTTAGCGTTATTAAAAGATAAATATTCTCATTCATATTGATAACTCACTGTTTCTGCGAGAGCCTTTTTGACGCGAGCTCTTGGAAAGCCCATAACTGTTAAACTTGCAATAACTTCTTCCGATGCGTTAGAAACGGCAGAGCTTGTACTTGTGTACGGTACATCGATATCTTTTTTAGAACGAAAATTTAACAGAGGTAATACGCAATATAAAACGAGAATTTTAAAAACAACCTGGATCGTCCATGTGCTCAAATAACCAATTCATAGCAGTTTCTGCATCTGAATTTCCAGTTGCAGTTAAAGCTTTTTTACAGCGAACTTCCGGAAATCCCATGCTAAGCAATTGGTTGAGAGCGTTTTGATCAAATTGAGGTTCAGCTGTAATAATAAAAAGGCGAATTTTCAATACTTGTATATTAAAATATCAGGATAAATATTTTCACATCAAATAACCGACTATTTTTATTTTCTTCTGGAAGTAATTCTTCGTCTGGTTGTTTTCCATGAGCTAAATAACTATCAAAATTGACTATATCTTCAGAAATTATCACAGGCGCAGCTGGATAAAATATTATTAGTAAATATCTGAAAAAAAATCTCTACAACTTTCTTTATTATAACAAATATCTTACATATTTTTTTAGGAATATAATTTTCAAATTCGGATCTTTGCGTTTCGAATCTTCGCAACTGAATCACAAGTACTTCAGGGTATGTAACAAACCTTCGATTCCTTTAAGCAAAAGAAATTTTTTTATTAAATAGTTTATTCTTGGAATAAAAAGAAATTATAAAATCATGCATACTTGAGAGCCTGAGTTGTCTTATTGCAGCAAGGACAGCTGTAGTGCTCAATCATGTCATCAGCACCAAAATATTGCAGACACTCTTCTAAATTTACAGGTTCATACAGATCTTCTTCACTCTTTTCAGTATTGGTTATCTTACGAGCAGGAACAGGAATGCCAATGTGTGATTCTGTAAGTTGAGAATATCGTACCCGTTTACATTCCAAACATTGAAGTCTTTCTTGTACTGTGAATTTAAAAATTCCGGTAGGATCGTTACGGGGATTTGCATGCTCATTCCTTTCAATCATGGTTATAAGGTGTTGAAAAAATTCTAAAGCGTCCTAGAATGAAATAAGTTTAGTTTATTTATTTTTGTTAAAAATTTATCTTATTCATAAAAAATGACAGACCTGTTGTCTCATCGTGGAGAATTCTTGATGTCCTTCACCTATCAGTGCTTTTAACATTGAAGGTGCAATACCATCTCTTAGATGCTTTTCTTCTCCACTCGCCTCAATTGTTTCAGCAGAATTTGAATATCTTCCGCTCAATAAACCATCAGCAATTTTGAATAATTGACAATTCAGGCATCTGCCAGCTTCTTTATCACAGATCGCGTTATGTTCAAGCGCATTAGGATAATACCTAATATATGGTATGTTAATGTTATACTAAAATTTTCATCAATTCGTTAGCACGTATTTTTTCAAATTAATTACCTGTGTTGAAATGCTTCCAAAGAGAATACCGATTGTAATACAGAAGCCATATAACAGCTAAAAGTAAATATAAGAGATTAATATACCTCAGAATGTATAAACTTTAAGATCGATAGGAATTGACTTACCTATTTCCAAGATTTTTTATACCTGTATAACCAGGCCCATGCAACGCCTCCAATTCTTTACCATCATCAGTGGTCATACTGAAGTCGAATTTCAAATTATGCTCAAGTTGCTAGTATAATAGTAAATATCAATTAAATTTAACTATTCTTTTTTAATCATAATAATGACTGTGATAATGAGATTCCAACCATTTCGGTAATACTTTTCTCTGTCTTTTGACTCGTTTCAACTTGAATTCCGAAATTTGCTAAATGTTTGCCTATATATGGATCTAATCTAATTTCATGACATAGGTAGCAATATACATCTAATTAAAAGGCAATTAATCTTAGAATATCAATACCTGGTTATAAATATATATATTTATGCAGTGAGCTAGCTGAACTAACCTGCAGTTCCCTCAGGCGTTATTGTACCGAGCTTACAAGAAGCTGGATGTTGTGTTTTTGCAAAATGGGCTTGTGCATGACCATTCCCAGGTAGACCTCCATATTGCTGACGTCCACATCCAAGATTACCGCAAATCAGACACATCCAAAGATTTTCTTTCAATTCACAATCATTACATTGCGATAAGGCTTTATAATTTTATATGAAATTAATTATGAGTAAAAGTAAACCTATAATACAATTATTAATATATGAAATCAATTAATAACCTTGCGACTCTAAAGGTTTAGCTTCTTGTTGTTCTAAAATTTTTACGTGATCGCACTCAATGATCTTTTCTTCCCAAGCCTGGATTTCAGATTGTTTTACCGCGGAAGTAGATGCCATTAATGAATCTATGACATTGGGAAGCTACAATTTAAACAACAATTAATTAATTATAGCATTTTATACAAAATCAAGCTTAGAAGATTTCTCACTTGACCAATTGTCCTTTCAACTTCTATGCCTCCACAAGCATAACACTTGACATGCGTGATAAATTCATGTTTATCTTCATCAAATTCGGGAACGATTGCCAATTTACTTATTTTCTGAGGTGGCTCCTCAATTTCATCTGACTAAGGTAAATTAGATTTTTAATATTTCAAACCTAAAAATAACGTATGTCCATAAAACAAAAAATATTTACCCTTTTAGGTTTATCCTTGACCAAACGACGTATATTTAAAACTAAGGGGTGTGCAGTTTTTTGGTAATGAAGAAAAGCGTGTTGACGTGTGGGATCGAGACAGCCAGCATTAAAGCAAGTTAAGCAGACATCAATTCCAAGGGGTAAATCCTTAATTACATTAAATTCAATGAACAAAGCTCTTTAAAAGTACGAGTATAAAAGCACAGCAAGCCTAACCTGTGTATCAAAACACTGTGTGCATTCCTCTTTGTATACTTTTGTGTGCACGGATGGTGGTTTTAATACGGTGTTTTGAACATGAGGACAAGTCGTCATGTTTAAAAGTCGAGAAATTTTTGGTGATACGAACGGACGGTATTTTGTCTCTTTTTTTGTTTGGAATTTTCTAGAAGCAAGAAAGCACGTGTATACGTAATATTATAACAAATAACAAAATAAAAAATTCCGTTTCTTGCAACCCATGAATCATTTTACAGAAATACATGAGTCATTTTACAGAAATCAATACTCAGGAAGAAGAACGATTCTCCTTTGTGGAGTTTCCTGGTGGTGATACACAAGCATCCCAGTATGATTATAGTGGATTCACCGAGTCTGCTTTGAACTCGCAGCAAGTTGATGACTTAAATGAGGGAACTCAAAGTCATTTCGTTGAACCTGATATGTCGGGGGTTGCGATTGACGAACTTGATGGTTTCCAAGATCTTGCTGTCGTTGACAAAGAACTACATGACCATGCTTGCAGGTATTTATCTTAAATGAATCAATCACCGCATTTTATTCATAAACTCAAACTCATTTACTATATTGATCTAAGATACTGCGGAATCCACGCAGTTTCTGCGGTAGCTCGATGCGTTACATGCAACAAATGGTTTTGCAATTCTCGTGGCAACACTTCTGGTTCTCACATTATCAACCACCTCGTGCGTGCAAAACATAAAGAGGTAGCGCTACATCCAGATTCAACTTTAGGAGAAACTACTTTAGAATGTTATAGCTGTGGCTGTAGAAATGTCTTTCTTTTAGGATTTATCCCTGCAAAGAGTGACACTGTAGTAGTATTGCTATGCCGGTGAGTCAAAAGTTTGTACGATCAAAATAGAACTGATTTATTTAATTCATACCTATTTTCAATAGACAACCTTGTGCTGCAATGCCTAGCAGCAAGGATATGAATTGGGATACATCACAGTGGCTTCCTTTGATTGACGATCGTTGCTTTCTTTCTTGGCTCGTCAAAGTACCCAGCGAACAAGAACAACTCCGTGCTCGACAAATTACCGCACAACAGATAAATAAACTTGAAGAATTATGGAAAGATAATGGAGATGCTAAATTAGAAGATTTGGATAAGCCTGGTATTGATGACGAGCCGCAAGCAGTTCTATTAAGGTAAGTCGTATATTTATTTATCATAAGGTAGACAAGAATCCGCCCCTATGAAATGGGAATATCTGCCTTATTGAAATCAAATACTTTGTTTATTTTTATACATTAAAGTAATCAAATAAAACCAATCCGAAAACCTCTTTCCACTTAATATATTAATTTTATTTAATCCTTTTTTTCTTGTAGATATGAAGATGCGTATCAGTATCAAAACATTTTTGGACCTTTAGTTAAAATGGAAGCGGATTATGATAAAAAATTAAAGGAATCCCAGACTCAAGATGACATTGTGGTTAGATGGGATATCGGATTAAATCAAAAACGTATCGCTTGGTTCTACTTGCCTAAATTGGAATCTGGAGGTGAACAAGAAATGATGTTAAATTCTTCTCATAACATCATATTGTCGATTTAGCCTTATATTTCTTTATTTGTTTCTATAGAGGTAAGATTGGCTGTTGGAGATGAGTTACGGCTTCGTTATAGAGGGGAGTTGCATCAATCGTGGGAATGCGTAGGACATGTAATTAAAATACCAAACAGTATGTATCAGGAGTAATCTTTTTTCATTTTTTGAGATTACTAAAATTTTTTTAAATATCAAAAGACGTTAGCGATGAAGTCGGTTTGGAGTTACGTAGAAATGACAACACACCTACTGATTGTACTCATAACTTCTCTGTGGATTTCGTATGGAAATCAACAAGCTTCGATAGAATGCAGCTAGCAATGAAAACGTTCGCAGTTGATGAAACTTCAGTTAGTGGATACATATATCATAAACTTCTTGGTCACGAGGTAGAACCTCAAGTTTTAAGAACTCAAATGCCGAAAAGGTTAATCTTTAGACATGTAAAATTATTTGTTTTGAACCACATAAATATAATATTAAGCTTTATCGATTTGCATAATTTTGATAATTTTTTATAGATTCTCTGCGCCCAATCTTCCTGAATTAAATCATTCTCAAGTCTACGCTGTCAAAAGCGTACTGCAAAAGCCTTTGAGTCTAATTCAAGGTCCACCAGGTACAGGAAAAACTGTGACATCCGCTACGATCGTATATCATCTTGCAAAGATGAATTCTGGTCAAGTACTTGTTTGTGCCCCCTCAAATGTGGCTGTCGATCAGTTGACAGAAAAAATTCACGCAACTGGTTTGAAAGTTGTTCGTCTAACCGCAAAATCACGTGAAGCTCTAGATTCTCCAGTTTCATTTCTTACTTTACACGAACAAGTGCATAACAATGATACGAATGCTGAATTGCAAAAGTTGATTCAGCTAAAGACTGAACAGGGTGAATTAAGCAGTGCAGACGAAAAGAAATATAAAATGCTTAAACGGGCTTGCGAGAGAGAAATTTTACAGGTAATTTTGATATCTCAAGCAATTTTATTAGAAATCTATATTCTCACCTAAAATTTTGCTTTGAATAGAATGCAGATGTTATATTGTGTACTTGTGTAGGTGCGGGTGATCCTCGCTTATCTAAGTTTAAATTTCGAACTGTCCTTATCGACGAAGCAACTCAAGCAACTGAACCTGAATGTATGATACCACTTGTTCTCGGTTGCAAACAATCTGTATTGGTTGGTGACCATCAACAATTGGGCCCAGTGATAATGAATAAGAAGGCTGCTCGTGCTGGTCTTTGTCAATCACTTTTTGAGCGGCTTGTAATTCTAGGAATTAGACCAATTAGATTACAGGTTCAATACCGTATGCACCCATGTTTATCTGAATTTCCTAGCAATATGTTTTACGAGGGATCACTTCAAAATGGTGTCACTACTCAAGATCGCTTAAGAAAAAATGTTGATTTTCCTTGGCCTGCGCCTGAAACTCCAATGTTTTTCCATTCAAATTTGGGACAAGAAGAAATCTCTAGTAGTGGTACTTCTTATTTGAATCGGTAAGCTTTATTTTATAGCATTTCAATATAATTGAAATACACATATAATAAATAATTGAACTTGATTATATTTAGTACGGAAGCATCAAACTGCGAAAAAGTAGTTACGAAATTTCTGAAAGCTGGTGTTCTTCCTGTTCATATTGGAATCATCACCCCATACGAAGGTCAACGTAGCTACATAGTTAGCTATATGCAACATAGTGGCGCTTTGCGTAAAGAGATGTACAAAGAGATCGAAGTTGCTAGTGTAGATGCTTTTCAAGGACGTGAGAAAGATTATATTATTTTGAGTTGTGTTCGCAGTAACGAGCATCAAGGAATTGGATTTTTGAATGATCCAAGGAGATTGAACGTTGCCTTGACTCGAGCAAGATATGGTGTTGTAATTTTAGGGAATCCAAAGGTTTTGAGTAAGGTAACTGGTCTTCTTACCGTTTATCGATGCTTTATTGTTAATTATGACTTCGATTGTAATATATTCCTTACTCTAAATCTAGCATCCACTTTGGCATCATCTTCTTGCTCATTATAAAGACAAAAAGTGTTTAGTAGAAGGACCTTTAAATAATTTGAAAAGCAGTATGATTCAATTTAGTCGACCTAGAAGAGCTTATCGCAAAGACGATAAATTCAGACAAGGATTAGCTCACCAAATTGACGCAAGAGAAGCTTTTGCTAAACCTCCTTTGGCTAGTGAGAGTACGTGTCAATTCTCGAGACATATAATATCTTTACTATGTAATTTGTTATTAATTTTTTATTTCAAATTCAGATCGTAGAACTGGACGTTCTTACGACGTTGATTTCATGAGAACACATGATCCAGTCGGATATATACCATCTGATATGTCAACAATGCCCTCTTCTCAATTTAGCATACCTTTGCTTCCGACTCCAAATGGCCCATTTACTCAAGATTTATCGCAAAGCAGCATTACAAGTCGTAAAAATTCAAAACAACAACAAATTTCATCTTATGGATCTTACACACATTCAATCTCTTCACAAGGCCCACTTACTCAAAATGCTTACAGCAGTCAAGGGTCTATGAGCATTGCATTGTCTCAGTCTGATCGTATTCGTATGATGGCGGATTCTGGTCCTTCTCTTAGTCATGGTTCAGTTTTATCTCAAGATAGTTCAATAAGTGAATATTTGGATGACTATAAAAGTCAAGGAGATGAAACGTTATTGAGTCAAGATTTTGAAATTAAATCTCAAGTCGGATACCAATCACAAAGTTTCACACAGTACTAAAGATCGCAAATAGACATCCGTCTCATGCATTAAAAGCTGGAGTCAGCTTATTGCATTCTATTTATTATTCAGAAGATGAAAGGCAAGTAGCACATATACAAACATATGATCGGATGAGAAAAGTTGCTCTATATAGGATCAATATTCATGATTTATTATACATGTATTGTAGAGTGATGGTGTAGTTGTGTGATGATAATGATGCAGACTGCATTTGGCAAACGGGACTTAGCACTACTACACTTAACGAAAATCAAAGCTTACAGCAAACTTTCAGTCAATTGTTAACTTGCCACCGTTTTTGCTAATTCAGTTCGCATTGCTATTATTACAATTATGTTCTGTAGTTAATTGTATTGTTCATTATTGCAGGTTCCTTTATTGTTTTATTCAAGATCTGCAAGATTTTAAGCAGACATTCATTTTTATACTAAATGCGAAATTACAATTTAGATCATATTTTGATATCAAGAAAAAATAGTAACATAAAAAAGTTTTATTAAATAAAAAACATCATTTTAATAACAAATTTTTATTGTTATTATAAATAAAAAAATACAAGAGATAATAAAAGTATAATTAAATTTCTTGAAAATTGAAATTAGATAATTATAAATAGATATAATTATAAAAATACAGAAAAATTTGTTGTAAATTAAAAAATAATTATATAGTTAAGTCTCTTTATATTTTCATTTTTTTTACAATCATATTTTTTATAATTATTCAATTTGAATTCTCAGTTATTAGTAATTATAATTAAAAAAAATCTTTTTATAATTATATCTTTATATAATTATTCAATTATTTAAATATAAAAAATTTAATTTTTATTATATTTTATTAATAAAATTAATTATCTAATTTTATAAATTTATTAGTATTATATTTATAATATTATATAATTTCTAATTATTTAATTAATTAATATTTTAAATTATATTATTATAATTAATAAATTTTATAATTAATAAAAAATTCTTATTTTTATTTTATTTATCTTTAATTTAAATATTAATAATATAAATAAATATAATTTTATTATTAAATTAAAAGCTTAAATTTATTTTTTTAAAATATATTCAAGTTATATTTATAAATATAAAATTTTTAAATTATAAATTATAATATTTAAAATTATTTAAAATTTTTTTAACTTATTATTTTATATTTTAATTTTTATTTAATAAATTATTAAATATTTAAAAGATTTAATAATTCTAAATTTAATTTTATTAAATTTGAATTCTAATTTATTTTATAAATAATAATATAATATTTTTTAAATATAAAATTATAATATATAAAATAAATAATATAATTAAAATTATTATTAGAAAAATATTTTATAAATAATATAAATAATATTAAAATTTATATATTTATTATAATTAAAAAAAAATAATTATTTTTTAAGTATTATTTTAAAATAATAATTATAATATAAAAGAAATATTATAATATAAAATTAAAATAGATATAATATCTTAAAAATTAATAATTAGAATTATATAAAAATATTATTATTTGATTTAACTAAATATAATAAATTAAATAATAATATTTTTATAAAATTCTAATTACTAAAAATAAAAATATTTTATAGTATTATAATATTTTATTATATTATAATACTTTTTTATCTTATTAAAAATAATATAATTATTAATATATTAATTAATTATAATTCAAAATTTATATAAAATTAAATTAATAATTTATAACAAATAAAAAAATTAAAACTTTTTTTTAATTTAAATAAAAATTTAAAAAAATAATTATTATTTAAATAATAAAAAATATTATATATATAATCTAGTATAAAAAGATTAATATATCAAATAAATATTAATAAATTATTTTTTCAAAATAAAATTTTAATTCTGTCTTATTTAA